CACACAGCAGCATTGGGAGTGATGAGGGATTTAAATTAGGTTGTGGATGTCACTGACGTCAGGACAAACTGGGACGAAAAGGGACCGCAAGTGAATGTCCCCATTGGTCCTGTAAAGCTGAGTTCTCCCCCACCCCACATTCCAGGTGGCTTGCTTGTTCTTAACATAGTGCATCCCTTTTCTTGCTATCTATTTTTTATTGTGCATGTTACTAGGTAACTTAAGGACATTTTCATGCGAAGAAAGCTGCAGGTATACTTTCCCCAAACTCATATCCTCCCTCTCCACCACCCTCCCACTCCCCCAAACCCCTACTCCTACTTCCACCAACTCTGAGCCTGAGATGAAAATCTTAGATGAGAGCCTGCTGAGAAGGAAACAGGAGAACTAGACAGATGCATCCCCAAAGAGAAACCCTTTGTGCCTGGAGTTGAGGGATTTGTGGAGATAGGAATAGTGTCTATTAGGTTCTAAGTGAAGCACACTTTCAGTTGTTGAATGAGGAGCTCTGTGTGTCTCCATACTGTATAAGAATTCCAGGAAAAATAAAGTTGAGGCACATTCCAAGGCACAGCACGGAGGAACAGGTTTTGAAGAAAATAGCAAAGACCTCATTTATTTGGGGGTCTAATTCAACACCCCTCTCTCTTCTTCCTCCAGGCCAAGCTCACTTCTACCCTCACTACAACCTCTCCCACTGAGTCTGTTGTTCACTGCCCTGCCTTCTCCTCTTTCCTTCACAAAGGAGGCTATTTTCAAAACAATGACTTTTGAGAGGAATGAAGGCATCCTTTCTCCTTTCTGCCTACCAATTCTCACATTTCCATCAAAACTTATCTCATTTAATAGTTGCCAGGAGAGTAATTTGATTACTGATGACTTAAGTGCCAACTGCCTCAGATTCTTTATGTGGGAAAGAAAGTATTTGTTAACCTCCAAGTCCACTGGCCTCAATAACTGGATTTCACTGAAAGTATTTTAGCTCATTTTTGTGGTGCACACTGAATTATGCAAGACCAATAATGAATGTATTTATGCTAAGTAGGTGGTAGAGGCAAGATTACATTTTAGCATCGATGTGACATAAGAACTCAAACTCTTGGTCATTGTAGGCTCAACCTGCTGTGGAAAAGCTTACTTTTGAAGACCAACTGTAAGAGTGGTTCACTTGGTAAACGGTTAAGTATGGGAGGATGTGATTTAATGGAAGAGTATTCTTTCACCAATTCTATGTCTTCTCCCTGACCAACCCACCCCCAGTTATTTCCACAAAATGAAATAAGATAGAATACCTAGTAGTAGCTTTTTAAACACATTTAGATTGATTTATTTTATTCCATGCGTATAAGCGCGTTTCCGGCATGTATGCCTGTGCACTATGTGCCTATCTGATCTCCATGGAAGCCAGAAGGAAACAGAATCCCTTGGAAGTAGAGTTACAGAGTTTGAGAGGTACCATGTGATGCTGGGGTTCACTCCTACAAGGCTCCCCTGTAAAAGCAACTAGGGTTCTTTGTCTCTGATGCATCTCTCTAGACACAGTCTTTGGGTGTTTTAATGATCTCTGATAATATTTTAAGGGTTCATGATCCTGATTGTGAATGGTCCCTTTTGTGTCAACCACATCTATAGAAAGCACTACCCCACAGACGTGGAGGAGTCGGAGTACATCTGTTGTCTTTGTTAATTATCATCTAGCAAAATCGGTTTCTCTTTTTTAAATTTTATTTTCCAGTTTAAATTTAGATAAGAAATGAGGTTGCTTCACAAGTCAGTTCCAGGTCCCTCTCCCATTCCCTCCCCTCCTCCCGTGCCCTCCCCCCAACCCCCCCCCGTTATCCCCTCATTCCCCCAGGGAGGGTGAGGCCCTCCATGGGGGTGTCCATAGTCTGTCATTTCATATAGGGCAGGGCCTAGACCCTTCCCCAAGAGTTCAGGGTGAGAGTGCACCTCACATTGTTCTATGGGAGTCCAAAGTCCGTGTGTATACTTGGGATGGGTACTGATCTGCTGCCCAAGGCTCAATCGGTTTCTCTTGATTCAGCATCTGCCTTTGACCTTTACAGTTCATAACTTTATAATTATACTTGATCTAGTTTTCTTTCTAGAGGGTGAAGTGCAAGATGAATCTCAAAGTTGGGAGACTACAAATGCTTTCTCTTGGTGGAATTTCTGGTGGCAAGGTGATTGTGAAAACATCAGTTCAATTCAAAAGTGTTGATTGCATTTATTTGCGTGTTTGTGTGAGTGAGGTGGTGTGTGGAGGTTAGAGACAGCCTGCAGGAATCAAGTCTGTCCTTCCAGTGTATGTATCCCAGGGATCCAGTTACATAGCCAGTCCTGGTAACAAGTACCTTTACTCCCTGAGTCATCCTCACTAAATGAACATTGTGGCAGGTTTAAAATCTAGACTTTTCATCCTGAGAAACACATACGAAACCCAGAACTCCCATGAACCCACAAGCACATTTCTCTGATGGCTAATAGCAAGCAGTTGAAAGAGTTCTCAAGTTAACACAACACGTTTACCAGATGAATACATGTTTGTTTTGTTCAACCATTTTAACAAAAGGGTCTCCATCGAACCCTTTATTTATCATGTAGGCTGAGATGAGGAATGCGTGAGGCTGAAAGGAGTTGGTCTTTCTTGGCTAGAGTTTACCATCTAGCTTGCAGATACTCGTTTCAAAGCATGTCTTACTGACACGGTTGAAGAGTCAAAGAATGTATAAAGAAAGCATGGTAACCTACACAGAATCTGAATGTTTATGTCTGGATAAGTTGAACTGCGTAGTTGCAGTGATCAACCCTACCAGACACCTGGGAAATTTGGGTCAGAATTCTCAGTCATAATTTGAAACCCTGAAATTATTAGCAGTACTCAACAACACACATACCCAAATTTGCTCGATTATAACTTGAATTAATAGCAAATTAATCCACTGATTGTCCTGTTTTGGAAGGTGTTTTAAAAGTGGCTTGTTTATAATAGTTCCTAACACCATTGGAATCCAGACTGGATGCCAACTGAATACCATTTCAAATAAAACCCTTTTTCCCCTTTTGGCAGCCGAACAGAACAGAGACACACAGTAGCTCTTGATCTGTGAACTGTTTTTGTTTTTGTTTTTTCTCTCTCAGCCTCCCTTGGTTTGGGGTTATTTCTGCTCAAGGAACTTTCTTGATTGGAAGCATTTAGCAAGAAAACAATTCTACCACCACATCTGTTCTTTAGTTCTAAATTACCTGATTTTGTTTTTTTTTTTTTACTTTTTGTATAATTTATCCTAGATTCTTGCCTTCTATGCTCAGTATAGAGTAAAGAGCAAGCAAAACTACAGTGGCTTCTCTCTGGGGGTCATTTACCCTTAATTTGACAGGTGTTGATAATAACCATTGAACATATATTACAGGTCATGTTTGCATCGTAAAATATAAAAGATATTTATAATTTATGCTCTGCTGTCCTAGAAGCATTTTGGTAGATTTAGGTCATTATTTTGCAATTACTCAAATATCTTTCCTTAAACAAAGCCAAGGATTGCCCATAGAGAGGATGAAACCATTCAAAACAGACCTGAAGGATGGGCTAGTGCAGAGAGAGAAGGGAGGGGGCATGATGCTTCACAGAGATTTTGGCCATAAGCACAGTCCATCTTTGTAAGTGGTCCCCTAGACAAAGGGTTCTTTGTAAAGTGGGTCTGATCCCTGGAGAGAGAGAAAATGATTCTTTCCTGGCTGGAAAGACGTTAACTCTTTCTTCTCTTTTACAGTAGGGAAGGAGGTAGATCCGAGGTGGTTATTTCCCAAATGAATTTTAAGGAGTAGTATTTAATCATATTGCATTTCCCTGGGACTGAGTGGATGGTGGGATCTTGAACTGCCTCTTTCTAGACTCCCTTTCCTACATCTGCCTATCACAGGTGGATCACATCAAAGACATATTCCAATAGCCATCGAACCATTAAATGCGTTGATGTTATGACACATAAATAGCTTAAGATTCTTTTGATACTCACATTTTTAAAGTTTACTTTCAGACTTGGGTGTTTTTAGACATGGATGCCCCCAAATGAGAACTGTACATTCTACTTGGCAATTAGTTTTGCCTAGGTAATGTTGCACTTGCATCAGCTAAAACACCCAAGAGCTAAGAGAGGGGTATATTGAATGATAGTATGCTCCCTTTAAGAATGAAACAAGCTTTGCAACTTGGGCAAAATTTCCGTTTCTGTTCAGAGGGAAAGGGAAGAGCTGCTAGTGTCAAAGTCCAAAGAGCTGTAAGGATGGATGCAGGCTGTGAGACAAAAGCAGAGGCAACTTTATACCTTACCAACAGTTCACCTGGGAGTGGTTTGAACTCCTCTGGGGTTCAGAAAGTGTTCTTTTCCAAGCAAGACTCGGGGTGGAGCTAGGAGAAAAGGAGTTCAATCAGAAGTAGATGTCAGTGTTCATCCTGCTCTGCTTTGGGAAGCAGATGAGAAGAAAAGCCCAAGTGAGAGAGAAGAAGCCACAGTGAGGGGCTGCCTACTCCATGGCCTGGGGCAACTGTTCCATTATAAACCAAAGGTAGAAACTCGTTATTGCTATGGCATTAGTAGTTAGAAATCTTGTAGCTCAATCCTGCTTCGTCTCTGTATATTATAGATTGCTTTGTTTTCTCATGTAAAAAAAATGTGTTAGTACAAAATTACTGTTTTCTCACCAGGTGAGAAAGGGTTGTGGGGTACCATTTGGGGTAATCACAGTGTTTACTCGAACACTATGTACACATAAGAATCTTATTTTTCTCTAATTGCATATTTTGTTCCTGTAATAACTGAGCTGCTTTCTGTACTAAAATGTTGAATCAATACTGAATGTCTCCATGGTTCAAATGAAGTATTTGTACTTTAGATGGAGTAAAATTGCTCCCAATTTGTCAAACTGCTGTCAAGATAGAAATTGGAATCTGAGGCTAATATGTTGTTTAATTTCTTTTGTTCTGTATTTTATTTTAGGCTTTAACTGAAATCTAAGAAAAAAAGAAACTGAAAAATTAGTAATACACCTGGAACTTCTAACTGATATAAAACCCCACTGGATGCCCTAGAAGCACCGAGAAAGAATGAGCTATTACGGAAGTAGCTACCGGGTTGTAAATGTGGATTCGAAATATCCAGGCTATCCCCCAGAGCACGCCATAGCTGAGAAGAGAAGAGCAAGAAGGCGCCTGCTCCACAAAGATGGCAGCTGCAACGTGTATTTCAAACACATTTTTGGAGAATGGGGGAGCTACATGGTTGACATCTTTACCACTCTTGTGGATACTAAGTGGCGTCATATGTTCGTGATATTTTCTCTGTCTTACATTCTCTCCTGGCTAATATTTGGCTCCATATTTTGGCTCATAGCCTTCCATCATGGAGACCTATTAAACGATCCAGGCATCACACCTTGTGTTGACAACGTGCATTCATTTACAGCAGCATTTTTATTCTCCCTTGAGACCCAAACAACCATAGGGTATGGTTACCGGTGTGTCACAGAAGAATGCTCTGTGGCTATCCTGACAGTCATCCTTCAGTCCATCTTAAGTTGCATCATAAACACCTTCATCATTGGAGCAGCCTTGGCAAAAATGGCAACTGCCAGGAAGAGAGCCCAGACCATCCGCTTCAGCTATTTCGCACTCATCGGTATGAGAGACGGGAAGCTTTGCCTCATGTGGCGCATAGGAGATTTCCGACCAAACCATGTGGTAGAGGGTACAGTGAGAGCCCAGCTTCTACGATATTCAGAAGACAGCGAAGGGCGTATGACCATGGCATTCAAAGATCTCAAACTCGTCAATGACCAAATTATCCTGGTAACCCCAGTTACTATTGTCCATGAAATTGATCAGGAGAGTCCTCTGTACGCTCTTGATCGCAAGGCAGTGGCCAAAGATAACTTCGAGATTTTAGTGACATTTATCTATACTGGTGATTCTACTGGGACATCCCACCAGTCTAGAAGTTCCTATGTCCCCAGAGAAATCCTCTGGGGCCATAGGTTTAATGATGTATTGGAAGTGAAGAGAAAGTACTACAAAGTGAACTGCTTGCAGTTTGAAGGGAGCGTGGAAGTCTATGCCCCCTTTTGCAGTGCCAAACAATTGGACTGGAAAGACCAACAACTCACCAACTTGGAGAAAACATCCCCTGCCAGAGGATCCTGCACCTCTGATGCCAGTGTCAAGAGGAGGTCTTTCAGTGCGGTAGCCATTGTAAGCAACTGTGAGAACCCGCAGGAGACAAGCACATCTCCTCCAGATGAGCACAAGGAAGTCCCTTATCAGAAAGCAATCCTGACTCTAAATAGAATTTCCATGGAATCCCAGATGTAGCCCTCCTCCAGGTCCCTTACCCAATGGCACAAAGTCGTCAGCACAATTTTTAACAAAATGTTAGATCTGTCCTTTGCCACAGGAATAGAAGGTTGAGCAGGTTAAACTTGATAAGTGATTAGCTAAAAGTTAAATAGCTTTTCAGTGTTAAAGTTTGGCATTGGGAGCAAATTTTGTGTTGGGACAACTACTGAGAAGCTTGATTGATTACAATTAATCTCATTATTGCATACACTTGTGTCTTCTCATGAGAATAAAATATTTATGAATGGGAGAAAAGACAGGCTGCTAGAATAGATTAAAATAGACATGAAAGCTAAATATTTACATTTATAGATTAGTTATGGAAAGAGAGCTAATAATAGTATCTCATAACCTAAGCACAACAAATAAGACATGTCTCAGCACAGAAATACGTAAGTAAAATGAAGTGGGGTTTGAGGCCCCGTATTTGCCTCTCATAGTGTCTTGGTATCAGCAGGCAGAGGTGTGTGTGACTTTACGAAATTGACAGTGCCATCAAGTCACAGATTTGTTTCAGTGAGACTTGCCTAAAGTGTTATCAGTGACTGCTAGAAGCTAACTATGTGACAGAGGAAATGGGAACATCCCTATTTAGAGAAGTATTTCTCTCTTAAGTACCTTGGTTCAACTAAACAAATGGGGAAGAGAAGGGAGGCAGTGTCCTTTCTCTGTGTTCCTTGGAGGAGTCTTCTGTGCTCACACCCCCACTATTCACAAGCACTTGTGAAAAGGTTGGATCACAGAGCTGGGTACAGCAGTGAGAGGCAGCTATATGCATCCTCAGACCTGAGAATACATTGTTGGCTCCTGGTCCCTAGAGGCTGAGAGGAAAGAATAGAGCTAGAACCTTTCCTAAAGGCAGTGTGAACAGTTTTGTGAAGCAATGCAATGAAGTTGATTTGATTGTGTACTATAGGGATAAGCTGACTATTATAGGAATTCTTAAATTTTAGGACAAAAGATAAATATGTACTCTGTTCTCATGTTAAAGGATCAAGTTAACTCCTGATTCCTTTTAGCACAAACCCAGTCTCAGACAGTGTAAGCTTTATAAACTGAAGAATTATTATCTATGGCTTGGCATGACTTCTGTATTTTTTCCACTGCTTTTGAGCTAGGAATGAGTATATGATATAGCTGCTGTCTAATTTAAACACACATACACTTAAATTTAGTCTCGTAAGTAGACTGAACTGAATCACACAGTTGAAGATTACAAAGCTAAGTAAAATAAATCAGTATCAAAGAGCTCTTTTCTTCTGCTTCTCTAATTTTCTTTTTGTCATCTCCTCCCATTCTTTCTCTGTTTCTCCCTGTTATCCAGGATCAACAGAGAATACAGTTTTCCTTTGCAAAGAAATCTTTCATCCCTGATATCTTCTTATAAATAAGAAATCTGTCCAAGGGGGCAAGTTAAAAGCTGTTCTGAAACTTAATATCTGCAACTAAAATCATGTTTAACTTACACTGCTTGGGAATGGAGAATCCATTAGTTAAAATACATAATACACCTCTGTGTTTACACACACACACACACACACACACACACAGAGATCAAGAGAGAAACAGAGACAGACACAGAGATAGAGACAAAGACGGAGATAGAGACAGATGAAGAGAATTTGGAATAGACAAGAATAGCAATAACTTCTCTAGACTAGAATATTACCATTCTTAAGCCTACAAATTATCACAGTAACAATGCTTTCCCCACCAATTTGAATTTGTTTCTCTAGAAGGCAAGTGCATTTCACTACACTGTATTTCCTTTGCTCTGTCCTCCCATGATGTCTGTCATCAAAATGGGGGGACCGTCGATGTTTGATTAAATACATTTTGTTGCACTATGTGTTCATACCCAGAGTGGAATGTATGGTCAGCATTGCCATGCCCCATGCATCTCTAATCTTCTGTATAGGTTTATAGCTCTATAGCATGATTGGAAGTCCTGATGACTTACTTAACAATAAAGATCTTAGAATGATGTAAAACACTATGTATATCCCTCTGCTCCCTGTAGTGTTGACTCCACTGCTTGGAAATGAGAATGTTGCTTCGTATGATTCATGAATCACTGTTATGGATTTTTAACAGCATGTGGAGCAGCTAGCTACATCTGAAGTGACAGTTGCTTCTATACACAGCACAGACTGACTCTGTTCAAAATGTGTTTCTGGTTTTAAATGCACTGTTGTGGATGATATATGAGTCAAGTTGAATATTTTTCTTGTGCCATATATCTCTCCCTAAACATGAAATTATTCATCAGAGTTAATTAGATAGAAAACAAGTTGTGGCATCATGTCTCTGCACTTTGGGTACTGTGTGCAAGAGAAGCGAATGAACAAAGAGGGGAAGAGAGAAAAATTTGGGGGCAGCTGGAGAAGGTTGCAGGAGAGGCAGGAGAGACTGTGCCTCTACTTGACAACCTCAGCAAGCTTTGTCAAGAGCTGCCCACAGCTGTATGTATTCTCCATGTCAAAGTGATAAAGTAGGTATTTCACAAACACTCAGCTCTCCTTTCTGTCCTCACTAACAAATTTCTAATCAGGACATCAGTGTGCTCAGGTGAAAACACACATCACTGCTTCTCAGTTTCTCTTTCATCTGGGGTGGAGTGTGGGGTGGGGATGGTATTAAATAGCACCATTCTGGGCCATGCATTATTAGTGCAGGTCTCAGTGTGACTTTTATGAAGGTGCTTTCATTGAGGCAGACTTAGCAGGCATATAGCCTTTCACTCTCCCTTGCCACCCTCTTTCTCACTGGATTCAGACGCGATAGCTGTGGCTTTGTAGCTGTGTTGTACAAATGAAGCACCTCACCTGTAAGACAGAGTGAAGTAATAGTACCCTCCAAATGCGTGTGTGTGTGTGTGTGTGTGTGTGTGTGTGTGTGTGTGTGTGTGTTATACAGTCTTACAGCCTTAGAGGATTCCATACATGCATACAGTGTATGTGCACTTTGGTCGTATTCATTCAACATTTCTTCCTCTCTTTACAGATCCCTCCAATGTATCCCCGCAAAGTTCATGCCCTCTTGCCTTTATATTTTGCCATTGAGTCCAGTTACTGCTGCCTATCCCTGACTGTGTGTGTGTGGAGAATGGGTAGCCACCAGAGGCCAAGTCCCTGAAGGAAATGTACCCTCCCTGTAGCCATCAGCTCTTAGTCATAGCTCCTTAGCTAGATGTAGTTTTCTCTTTGCAAGAGTAAAAATAAACACTCTCTAACCATTATAGGGAGCATCATGTCTCAAAGGAATTACTTTGAAAGCTAGAAAGGAGGAAAAAAAGACACACAGTTTAAGTCCAGTTTGTACTTGTACCTGACATTTGATGGAGTTGGTCACTCTGGAAATTACATATTTTCTCAGGAGTTGAGGAAATGCCATTATTATTGTAAAATAAACACAAAGCAACTGCTTCTGACCTAGAAATCCCTTTGAGCTACTGGTGGCTGAATGATCTTGATAGCTGGATTGACCAGGCTTTGTTCTCCCATCCCCACAACCCAATTACATAAGTTCTGTGCCTTTGTGGGCCTTTTGATGGTGCTAAAGAGCTGAAATAAATATAGGCGTGGCAAGCCCTTTAGTGGCATCAACAACAACAAAAATATGATGCTCCTCTGACCCTGCATAAATTCTCAGGACACTTCAGCAAGACCTAATGTTTAAGGTTAGAACAGTCAAAGATATTTTAAAGATACCCCAAGGAACCTGGGTTCTAAGCATTTCCCATTTGTGGGGCTGAGCCTATAGCTCAGTTGCTGGAGTGCTTGCTTGCCTGGCACGCATGAAGACTTCTCTTCTGTCTCCAGCAAACAAAGCAGGATATGGTGGCACATACGTGTAGCCCCAGCATTTGAGAGGTAGAGTCAGGAGGATCAGAAATCTAAGTTCGTATTCAGCTATATATAGTCTGCCCCATGCCAGTTTCAGCTACATGAAAGCATCTCTTAGAGGAGGAAAACCAGGGGTTGGGAGATGGCTCAGTGATTTAGAGCACTGGCTGTTCTTCTAGAGGACCTGGGTTCAATTCCATGCACTGACACAGCAGTTTACACCTGTCTGTCATTCAGTGGTGGAGGATTTGATGCCCTCTTCTGACCTGCATAGACATCAGGTAAGCAAGTAGCACACAAACAGAATTGCAGGCAATACATCCATACATATATGTTTAATATGCTATCAAACTAATTTCTTATATCTGAGTTGCCCACAGAATACAGTGGGTTTTAAAGTCTATCTCTAAACCCATGGGTAGCAAATTCTGCTCCGTTGGAGATGCTCTCTTCCCTCCCTCTGACAGGCAGCAGCTTGCAGCAGCTCCAAAGGCTTGTAAGGCCATCATATTTCTCTGTGACTTTTAAGGTCAGCTTAGCCTGAAGACTTCTAGAAGCCATGTCTGCACACCCATGGTCACCCCTCAGCCCTGCCTGTATTCGACAGCTAGCACAACTTCTCTCTCACTCTCACTTCTGCTTTCAAGGAGCTACATAACCCACATTCAAGCAGGAAACCATCTAGCTACATGCACAAAATACTAGTGGAGTTCACACAGAGCCCGGCTAGAGCAACCAGCAGGGAAGCACTTCAATACATTCTCTGCTAAGATTCTCCTGGATTCTGGGAAATGGAAACTAATGCTTGGGACTCAGTTTGAATAAATCTGTGGGCAGAGAGAAAGCAAGGTCCCCAGCAGGGCCTTTTCCTGAAAAGAAAGAATCTGCACTACCATGAGGATTTTCATCCTAAATGCTTAATTCACTGTTCTTGTATCACTAAAATACCTTTGTGGGGTTCTTTTAGGACTCTGTGGTTGAGTTCTGATGTTTTGCTGTGGTTGAACTGCTTCTTGCTTGAACTGGCTTTTTAGAGCCCATTCTTTTAGGGGGAATACCTTGCTCAGCTTACATATTGGGGGGGTGCTTCGTTCTGCCTCAAAGCAATGTGCCAGACTTTGTTGATTCCTCATGGGAAGCCCTTACCCTTTCTGAGGAGTTGGTAGGGTCTGGAATCCAGGATGGGAGAAGTGGGGGAGGGGGGGAGAAGGGAGGGGATGGGAACTGGGATTGATATGTAAAATGAGAAAAGATTGTTTAAAAACTTTTGTGGGCATGATAAGGGAGCATCTGTAATTTCAGTGCACAACACACTGCGATAGGCTGATCTCTGGGATTTGTTGGCTGCAAGCTCTTGGAGAAATAGAGATCCTGTCTCCAGAAACAAAGTTAACAACACCCGATGAACATTTAGAACTCAAAGTAGTTCTCTGACCTCCATGCATATCTACACACATGTGCATGCACAACTATAGGCATATGCTACACGCCCACACCAAAAGGGTGAGTGTGTGTGAGGATAAAATAGGCAGACAGAGGTTGCCAGACTGGTTAATAAGTCTATGAATTTGATCACTCTTTCTGCCTGGGATCAGCTGGAGACTTAGAAAATTCCCCAGGCTACAGAAAAAACAGTTATTTTGCTTTCCAGTAATCCCAATGGATGAAAACCCAAGCAGATTCTACTGCTAAATTGCATAATCATGGAATGCTTTTGTTTCTCCTGCTATGTTGACCCCAGAGGCCTAAGAAACATCCTTTAAACACTTGAACTTGATAGAGAAAGAGCCCCAACTCAAGGCTAGTCCTTGTGAAGTTGTCTTTAGAAAACAAAAATCAGAAGTCTTCAAGTTACCTCTTGAAAGACTTCATCGCATTTAATCTTCACTGTGACTAAACATGCTTCATTTTAGTTAGGAGCACATGTTGGAGATCAATTATTTCTTACACTTCTGGTTGAGTCTTCTGACATTCCTTTGCATGGAGGAGGGAAGCCTGCCCTCAGGCTGAGTTAATGACAGAGCTCACTCCCATCAGTTGCTGATTCACACCTGAAGATCCTTATGATAGTGGCTCCTTTTACCAGATACCTCTTGTATTAAAGATAAGGGACTCTTCTCTGCAAATACAGACAAAGAAGAGAAGGGGGGCACCCAATGATCAATTACCTGAGATCAGTCATCCCAGGTGACAAGTGGTCCTGCTTGGTCCTAATGTGGTTTAAGACTAAAGTGTTGACACCTTTATAGGACAATTATTAAATGAAAGACATGGTCTTGTCAGCATCCTTTGTGAACCTGAGGACATAATTTTCTTATTTCTACTTTTTTATTTTATTTCATTGAGAAATTTCCATGCAAGCACTATATTTACACCGTGTGTAAGAGGTTGCAGGGCTTCATATGTTTGTAGTTGTATTTTGTTTGGTTTCAGTGTTAAGTATTGAACCTTCGATTTTGAGAATGAAGGGGGCAAAAGATTGAATGGTTGGATGAAGCACTTGTCAAAAGGTAGCCTGCTGAAATAGAGTTGGAGATGCCTGATATCCCTTGGCATAGTATTGATGAAGGGATTTTCAGACTCAGGAAAATGGCTGTGCTAGATTGGGTGTGCTGTATAATCCTCCAAATGAGGAACCCCAGAAGACATGATTTCACTAATCCTTTAAGACAAGACACAAACTAGTGAGAGAGAAACCAGCATATCTAAATAGCTTTGCTGTTGCCCTTTACTTCGTGCCAGATCTTAAGTTTGGAGATGCTGCTATTCAGTTGGAAGAATGAAATACAATGGGTTTAATTGGGCCCTGAAGTAGCAGGGGCCATGTGGCATCACTGAATCATCAAACGCAAGGTGATCATAGTTATCGTAATTGATGGCATAGACAAATACATATAGTAATATCGATATATATGTAGTGATAAGAACACCTGAGTCATATAGATCAGTGTGGACAAAAGTTTCATATCTTACTAATTGTTTAATTAATACTAGTTGTTTAGTTAATCTTATTAATTGTTTCATATCTTATTAATTGTGCAACCTGGAGCAATGTAGCTGCCATTGCTGATCTTTCGTCTTCATTTGTGGCTAATGCTGCTGTAGAAAGTAAAACATTGAGAGTGTGGAATTAAGTACCAATTGCA